GAAGTTGTGAATATTTATGCAGCGCACTAGAGTGAGACTAGCCAGTTAGGAGTGAGTCTTAGGATGCTACTTGTTAGCTACTTATGCAGGGCTTTATCGGATGGATGTTATTATACCTTCCACCTTTCATCTTTTTAGTATTTCTATATTTCCTACATTTCTTATATTACTGTTATTTTATAGTTTATGTTATTTTATTATGAGTCAATTGATCGTACTAATATATCGTCTTTTGTTACTTTCTTGAGCCGAGGGTCTCTTGGAAACAGCCTCTCTGCCCCTCGGGGTAGGGGTAAGGTCTGCGTACATATTACCCTCCCCAGACCCCACTTGTGGGATTATATTGGGTCGTTGTTGTTGTTGTTTCTAAAGTATTCAAATCTATCTCGTTGATAGGTTGTAGAATTGCATAAAGCAGAAAATAGTAAGCTTATGGAAGATTTGCTCTCACTTTCACGTGGTCCTATGCCATATGTGACACATTTTAATGGCTACGTTGTTAATGGATATATATTTCATGTAGAAGATTATGATAAACAATTAAGGACTCAAAATTGTGGTGTGGTTGTTCTTGGAGAGACTGAAAAACACAGTGAAAATATTGATTACTATGGAGTTTTAACAAATATTCTTGAATTGCAATTCGTGGGTAGAAGAGTGATTTTATTTCGATGTAATTGGTTTGATATGTATGATAACATGAAAAGAGTTAATGTCACGACCCTAAACCTGAACCCGGTCATGATGGCGCCTCTCGTGAAGACAAAGCCAGCCGACACTTCCCATTCCTGTTTTAAGCAATTAAACAGTATGAATTTATGTTTGAAACATGATAAATAATACAAAAGTAAACATTTAATGGTAAAGTTGCAGAAGATAAACCCAACACAGCCCGATACCGAGGTGTCACTAGTTATGAGCATCTAACAACACGCTACAAGTCTGAAATGCCTACTAAACTATTACAGAACAACTGATAAAGAAATAGAAAGGAGGTAAAGGGGGAGAAACACGGGTCTGCAGACGCCAAACAACTACCTCATGGACTCCAAAGTGTGCCGGGAGCTCTCAACTCACGCTAATAGGATCAACAACGCCTGAATCTGCACACAAGATGAAGGAAGTAAAGTGATACTCTAACTCAGTGAGTAATAATGATAAATAAAGACTGAAAGCAAGAAATCACGTAAGGCACATTATAGGATATAAGGAAGCAGTAGAGATGTGTAAAATTACTAAGTTCAGTTTAAAACTTCATAAAAAGCCTTTTTAATAGTTAAGAAAGCAATTGAAAGGCAAATAGGAAAGATAAACACATAAAGGATCACCCCTCGGAAAAAAATCATAGAACAACACCAGCCCCTCGGGCTATCTCTCACATCATACTGGGTACCCGCACTCATTGGGGGTGTGCAGACTCCTGGAGGGGCGCCTTACGGCTCAAGCACAATATGAAGCAATCTTGTGGCATAATCACTAGGCCCTCGGCCTCATATCAACAAGCCACCTCGTGACGTACTAACTAATGCCCCAATAGCTTTTATGCACTCGATGAACAATGTATTTCGGCACTATCCTATTTCCTTCATCATAGTTTTCGTTAATGATATATTGATGTATTATCGCGGCCGAGAGGATCATGAGCAATATTTAAGGATCATGCTCCTGACTTTGAGGGAAAAGAAGCTATATGCCAAATTCTACAACTGAGAGGTTTGTCTTGATTCTTTGGCAGTCACGAAACACGGACCCCAAAAATTCACCCTAATTGCCAAACCTCTGGCCCAACTATGTGAAAGGGTGTGAAGAAATGCTTTTCTATATTCGGTTGAAGGAAGAATCCCATACCAACCTACTAAATACTTTGATACAAGTAAATGCTACGCATATCACTCAAATGTCCCGAAACATGACACCGAAGATAGCTATGGGCTGACGCAGGAGATTAAAATGCTCATTAAGAGTGGAGCTATCCAATGCACCCAGCTTCATCAAATGTGAATCATAACCCATTACCAAACAACAGAAACTAAGAGGTAAACATGATCTCCCGGGAGGAAGAATATCATTTAAAAGGAACTGTCATTACCGTTGGAAATGCTGAAGCATCAAGGACAGCCCCTTGGACGACCCCATTAATCATAGTGCAATTGAAGTCGTAATGGTCAAGACATTTTATCCATGGCCCGTTGCATGCGTCAAAGAAGATTTGAATCATGATTACAAGGAAGTCTCGTTGGCCTATCAGTCGAAGCAAATGGGAAATTGAAAGAAATTGTAGCGCCTGATGGGATGACTAAATCGAGAAGATTACACGCTCCTGAGGATTTGAACCAGTGAAATCCTAATAGAGAGCAAAACAAGAAAAGAAACGTAACATAACTGATGTGAAATCGACAAAATTCTGGAGAAAGATGCTAGTTAAGGAGTATTTTGTTGATGAACAACCAAAGAATACTCCAACATACATATAAATCATGTATTTGCTGATGAAATACGAGTATAAAATGGGATCTGGCCCGTGGGTAAAATCAAATAGGATAATTAAGCCATTTCAATTGAAGCAGCAAAAGGGAACTATTATTTTAGACCACCAGCCTGCAATTAGAGGAGTCCATAACAACAACCCTGGGAAAAAAGTTTTGTGCTAGAGCATTTTCTAAGTCCGACTCAGATTTCAACTCAAGAAGAATAAATCGTCGATGGGATCAGATTGTTATTTGTGGCAATGATCGAGGAATGCTTCCGTAAAGTCAATATCAAGACACCAACCATTGGGGATGCCGAACTAGGAGAGACTTTGTAGAACTAGACAACAAGTCCATCTCTGGTTTGCTGAGAGTCTTTGTTGTGTGGATTTTTAATAATTTTTAAATTTGCATGATCATTTGAGGCTTGTATCATGCCGATGCCTTTTTATTAAACCGCCCTGTTGAATGCTAAGACGTTCCTTTGAATAAAAGAAAATTTTATTCTACCTAAAGTATTATGCAAGATTATCTTTATTTTAATCTATACTCGCATTTTCTTTTCAGTGATCAATTTAATGAAAAATCTTATTCCACGTTTATGAAATGTAACAATACCCTTGAACAAAGAATTCAAAACGAGCCAAATTTTGAGGAGTATGATGAACGTATGATGCCCGAGAAACTATAGCATGAAATTCAACAGTTAGAAATTAACAAGAAGCCCAATCTTGAGGAGAAAGAGGTCATAAATATGGAAAATTAAAAAGAAGTGAAGGAAACTCGAATTAGCATCCACTTGGAAGAAGAACAAAATTGAGAATTGGTGGAACTACTTCAACAATACATTGATGTGTTCGCTTGGTTATTTGATGACATGCCCGGGTTGAGTACAAACATTGTCTCACATCAACTGCCTACCAATCCAGTTGTACCACCAGTCAAGAAAAACCCAAGAAAGTTCACGCCTGATTTGAGTTTGAGAATCAAAGAAGATGTCACCAGGCAAATAGAGGCAAATGTGGTGAGGGTTATGAATTACCCCACCTGGTTGGACAGTATAGTACCAGTCCCAAATATGATTTTGCTCTGCCAAATATCCACATTCTCATCGAGAACTATACAAAACATGGTTTACTATTGTTCCTGGATTGTTTCTCCGATTATCACCAGATACACGGAGAAGATACAGAGAAGACAACATTCATTACACCATGGGGGGTCTACTATATTAGGGTCATGTCAATTGGTCTAAAGAACATCGGTGCCACCTACAGGTTGTGACTACTCTTTTAATGACATGATCTGCAAGGAAATTGAAGTATATGTAGAGGGTATCATCATCAAGTCACACAAGAGTATGATTATTTTAACGACTTGAAAAAGTTCTTTGAATTGTTGTGTAGGTAAAATTTGAAGTTGAGCCATGCGAAGTGTGCATTCGGAGTTCCCGCCATAAACTTGTTGGGTTTCATCATTAGCATGAAAGGGATAGACTTAGATCCCTCAAAGATCAAGGCTATTCAAGACTTGCCTCCTCCTATAATCAAGAAGGATGTAATGAGCTTCCTTGGGAGACTAAACTACATTAATTGATTTATATCCCAATCAACTGTAATATCGAACAAATTTTCAAGCTACTAAAGAAAGATGCTGCCACGAACTGGATGGAGGAATGCCAAAAACCTTTCGATTGAATTAAAGAGTACCTACTTGTCAAGCCCATTAGTGCTAGATCTTACCAAATTCGGTTAACCATTGTTACTAAATATATATGTCTTGGATTGTGCAGTTGGATACATGTGGGGTAACACAATGAGACTAGAAATAAGGAGTAGGTTATTTACAACTTGAGCAAGATATTCGTGCCACAAGAAGCAAGATAAACCTTGTTACAACAGATGTTCTGCGCTTTAACTTGGATCCCTTAGAATTTGAGGTACCGTCTATCAACATACACCACATACCTAATCTTAAGGCTAAATCCACTCAAATACATCATTCAAAAGGCAATGCTAACTAGAAAATTAGCAAAGTGGCAGATACTCCTAAGTGGATTCGACATTGTGCATGAGATACAGAAGGCCATTTAGGGACAAACTCTGGCTGATCACCTCGTAGAAAACCCAATAGATAAAAAATACATGCCAGGTACCACATATCTCCAATATGAAGAGGTACTATTCGCAAGAGAAGATATTTCAGAGCCTTACCCTTGATGGGGGATGTTCTTTGATTGATCTGAGAATTTCAAGAGAGTATAGATCGGGGTAGTCTTAGTCTCAGAATCAGGACAACATTACCTAATTTCGGCCAAGATAAGGTTACCTTGTACAAATAATATGGCGGAATATAAGCATGCATCCTTGGGATCAGGTTGGCAAATGATCTGAACATCAAAGCACTTTTGATCATTAGAGACTTTTATTTTCTTATCCACCAAGTCCAAGGATAATGGAATCTAAAAAACATCAAGATTCTTCCATGCATTATGTGAATGAATTATGTAAGAAGTTCACCAAGATCGAATCCATGCATATTACCAGAATCCAGAACGAATTCACCGATGCTCTTGTAACATTTTCATCCTTGATTCAACACCATGACAAGAGCTACATTGAACCTATTGAGGTAGAGATTCGGGGCCCATATGCATATTGCTTTCATGTAGATGAAGAAACAGATAGTATGCCACAGTTTCATGGCATCAAAAGGTTCATTGAGATAAGAAAATACCCAGAGAGTGCTACTACTGGTCAGAAGAGGGCACTAAGGATATTGGCAAATCATTTTTTCCTTAACGGGAAAGTCCTATACAGGAGGACCATGGACTTTGGTTTATCAAGATGTGTAGATATTGCAGAAGCGACAAGATTGTAGGAAGAAATACTTGCAGGGATGTGTGTGCCTCACATGAACAGTTTCAACTTAGCTAAGAAAATTCTAAGGGCATGATATTTTTTGATGACCATAGAAGGGATAGAATTTGCTACATGCAGAAATGTCATCAGTGTCAGATTCACAGGATTTTATTAGGGTTCTGCAAAATGAGCTCAATATGATGGGTTCTTCTTGGCCATTTTCCACTTGGGGCATGGATGTGATCAGACTTGTAGAACCGGCCGCATCAAATGGTAATTGTTTCGTCCTAGTGGCCATTGATTTTTTCACAAATGGGTAAAATATTTTTTATATAAAGCTGTTACGAAGAATGTGGTGGTAGATATCCTTTGTAAAAACATAGTTTGCCGGTTCGAGATCCCAGAGTCAATTATAACCGAGAATGTAGCCAATATCAATAATGATCTCATGCGAGAAATTTGCGAGAAGTTCAGGATTGTCCATCGCAATTCCACAACATACATGCCAAAGATGAATGGAATAGTTGAAGCATCCAACAAAAACATCCAGAGGATCTTGTGAAAGATAGTACACAACCACATGCAATGGCACTAGAAACTACCATTTTCCTACTTGTCTATCGTAGTACAATAAGGTCGCCCATAAGGGCGATACATGTAGGTATATGGTACTGATGTTGCAATACTCATAGAGGTCGGGATACATTCATTAAGGTTTATCAAAAAAGCCAAGCTAGAAAATGCATAATGAATACATATTAGGTAGGAACAAGTAATGCTCAATGATGAGAAGAGGATGGGCCCAGTTTGTCATGGTCAATTTTACCAAAATAGGATGACCAAGGCATTTAAAAAGAGTGAAACTATAGTAGTTCATACTGGGGCAGATTGTCTTGAAAATATATTTCTCTGTCAAAAGGAAGCTAAATGAAATTTTGCACCATATTGGCAAGGTCCATTTGGGGTCCATCGGGTACTTTCAAGATGAGCGTTAATATTAGTAGAAATGGATGAAATAGCGAGCCCAAAGCCCATCAATTCAGATGCAATCAAGAGATACTATATTGAAGACTAATAAGTAATTTTTTTTATAATAGAACTACACTTTACCTTACTTTCCACGGTGGGATAGGTAGGCAACCAACGTAGGATCTTGTCTCATATGTAATAGAAAATACAAATATCATTTCAGGTGTTCAAAACTACACAATGACTTGATTTTATTTGGCAGAAATACGTAGGCAATCCATGTAAAATTTAGTCATTTATTGTAATAAAACTATATTTTGACCTGATTCTATTTTGATACGTAGATAGTCTGAGTCAGACCTTGTCATATCATCTTTAAATGTCATTTCTTCATTTCTGAACCTATTGTAAGATAACTATATTTTGACATTATTATGTTTGGATACGTAGGCAGCTTGATTCAGGCTCGGTCACTCAACAATCTCATTTATTTGTACCTTTGAAATGTGTTCAGATTTGATTCATTTTTGAAATGTAGGCGACCTGAAAGGGTTTGGTCAACACCCTATGAAAGCCTTTGTAATGTATCCTTTAGATCTAGGAAATGACCGCATCAACAAAAGTACTTCGTCGTCAGGGGCACTAATGGTAAGATTTTTTCTGGTGTTTAATCATTTATTACACTCTAATTTACTACACATTAATTGAGTTAGAGATTTAATCGCTAGTGTTTTGTACTAATTGGGGGTTTTATGCCTTGTAGCCATGATTTCAAGCTATGTAGATGTTATGTAATGAATTCAAGTTATTCTGGAGCTTTGAAGTTTGATTAAAAGCCAAAGAAATTACGTCATGGTCATGTTTGGATATCAATAGATGATAGTGCAATTAAAGAACAAAATGGATAATCGAGCAGGATGCCAACGAGGTGCTCGATCGTGTACTAGTCGCGCACTGGGCACGTACTGGTGTAAGGCCCCGAAAATTTTTGCTAAGTAATTTAAGGTTTCGTGCTGCCAAAGTAGGCTAATTATTTTATTTTGCGTGCAAATGAGGACTATTAATGAGATGGATATCAAATGGATATGTTAATAAATGTATTATGCTTATTATAAGTGATGCAGGGTCTAATAAGAGGCCTAAGTCTAAGTCATGTTGGAAAATTGCATGATAGACTAAAATCTCCAAATGAGTACACACAATACCAAACTTTGGACGAGCATGTCTACATATATATAAAGTGTTATGTGAAGCACAATCTATCAAATGATAGATCTTTGAGTCTAGTTTCGAACATTTTAAATCGTTCGTCATTTGGAGACTTCTACAAAATATTATGACTAAATTACAAAAGCTGGCAAAATCTAATTCTACGACCAATTATGCGACCACAAAATCAGAAGTGAACCACAAAATGGTCTGCAAACTACAAAATGGTCGCAGACCTTCCCAGTGCAGACACTTTTGAGCACCAGTTTTGCGATCCATTATGCGACCCGCATTCCTGTTCTGCGGTCCATTTTGTGATCGCAGACCTGATTTCAGAGACTTCATTTTCTTATTTTCAAAACCCGACCCCATTTTGATAAATAGCCTTTGGCACTTATTTTGGGACATTTCCTGATGTTTTAGGAGAGAGGTAAGAGCAATTCAGAGATAGAAGGGAGAAAACTAGAATTCCAACCATCCAATCTTGCTCAAATCTTCAAGAATCAAGGGAGCTAACCACTAGATTATCATCTATCCGGGTAAGTCCTACTCCTAAGCTTTCATGCAAGAGGTTAAGAGTTTAACTACATTGTGGAATTGGAAATAGGCCATGCATGTGATACTAAGTTGTAGTATGTGAGATTAATGAACCCTTGTAGGTAGTTTCTTTTGAAATCTGTTGAAGGAGGAGGGGATCACCATTTTAGATCCTTGTAGTCTATTTCTCATGAGAGGTGTTTGACAAACTTTCTTAGAGAGTTACACCATGGGAATCCTTCTAATTATTAGCTGATTTTCCCTATCTTCCTATAGATTGGTATTGCTAGAAGTTTAGGTGCATTGTAGTAACTTAAAGAAATCTCAAACAAGGTATGATGGCAAAACTTTGTCTCTTACAATCGAATTTCGTAATGTTCTCGTAAGTTTAAGTATCGTTGGGTCAAGATTCATAATTTCTATATTCCGGGTTATCCCCTATAAACTTTATTATTCCGAATGAGCCTTATGTCGAAAGATAGATGTTCAAAGTATGGTTTTCTTATTAAAATGGTATGGCTTTGAGTCGTGTTGTAAATGAAGACTAGTATACCAATTGGGTGAGAAAAACTAGATATGCTTAAGACTCCTAATTGCTCAAATGTGTGCCTAATGTCTTATTTTTGATAATCTATAAAGAGTTTGAAAATGAGTTAAGTGAATTGGGAAAATAGAGTGTGGCTAATGTGCCAAGAACATAACATATACTTGTGACTAGTGATGCCAATAAAATTAGAAAATGTGAAACAGATTATGAAATGAGCCTCGACTTTACTGTTCATAAATGACTTCAAAAATAGAATGGCCTAAAGGCTTTTGTGCTCAATTTATGCCCATAAGTGGATGTTTTAGATAATGATTTGCCTTATAAATACATCTAATATGATCTGAGTTCTTAGATACTCTGGTGTTTAAATTGTACATTGTTATTGTCACTTATGGGAAAGAGAATTATAAGAATAGATGGTGTATTCATTGTTTATGATCTTGATGTGTGTTTCTATTGCAGGTTGGTATGCCCCATTCTTTGGGAAGAAATATTTTGTGTTAAAAGATTCCATAACTAATGAACTTAAGGTATAAGATTTCCGAAATATTCTATATATTAATATTGGTTGGTGATCAATGGAAATAAAATAAGTGAAAATGTGGAATATAAAATACGTCCAATGTGCCATGAATAAGGAATTTTTGTTGATGGCAAAAAGAACCAAGGAAATTGTCACGCCCCGACCTCGGGAGCCGTGACCGGTGCTCAACCGAGTAAACTCTATTAAGCAAGCCTATTTGACATTTATACCCAACTCATTATGATCAAGAAAATAGGTTATTAATAATTATACAACCGGAACATTTTGTAAACATTTCCAAATTGATTCAATTGTTACCTCATTGGTATGTTTTTTCAAAATTACAAACACTTTTCAATTTGAAGGAAGAAGGGTCCAAAATACACCATAATCCACTATCCTTTCCAATCCCCATATACAACCCATATAGTGTCTACATAGCCTCTAATGATACAAAAGAGAGTCATAACAATACCGAAAATATGGCCCTGGCTATACCTCAAAATGTGGTAACTTATAACAATAGATATACTACATTACCCCTAGAAGGAAGGGGCTCACCAAGACTGCTGAGAGAAGGATGCACCGCTATCTGCAATCGGCATTGTCTGCTACAGAACCACCTAAGTCCATTCAAAGATGTAGCGCCACCGGCAAAAGGGACGTTAGTAATGTCGAATAGTACCAGTATGTATAACTAAACACCATCTCATTAGAAAGAAAAATAATACAAGAAGAAGACAATCATAAGGATCAACATAAACCTTAAACAGTAATACAACATCAAATTAAGGAATTACATAGCTTTCAAATGATTTTTCATAACCTTAGGTTGGGATATTTTAATACTATTACACCATCATTCCCAATATCATCGCTTTCTTGCGCGGAGTCCAATCATGATCCGATCGGCTAGGTTGTCTCATTTGAGACATGTACCTCAATAACAACTTCATTGTCACTTTCCAGTTTCAATATTAGCACAGTACCACTATGTGTGCTGCATGGCATCCGATCACGGCCCGATCGGCTAGGCCGTCTCACTAAGACATTCCCATGTTACATCAATCATCTCATTTCAAGTTTATATCACACATATCAATTCATCGGCACTTGGGGCCACAATTATTACATCATTCTAGGCACCAGGCTACATTCCATAACTCATGCTCTTTTTCCCCATGTTACGCCCTGTAATATTACGTTGATATTACGTCCTGTAGTATTGAATTAC